TCAAATCGAAAGTGCGAAGACACGCGTTTGGTCAAGAAGCAGTAGGTTCCAGCCTCAAGGATTCTTCATATTCCATGACAGACATCGTCTAAGTTCTGTTCGTGAAAGAAAACGGTTCTCTCTTAAGAGAACTCGAACATGGGGACGTCGATGAACTAACAGCGTCGTGCCCTTCGTCGTATGCCTGGCATCCCCAGATCCTGCCTCTCGAAACGACAGTTAGTTTCATCCAGGAAGCGCTGGCGTTTCGCCTATCCAAATAGACTTCCACATGAAAACGACGAATTCAGTTACGCCGTGGCCAACTATTTCCCCTTCCAAATCATACTCGAGCAAACATCCGTTGTACGTCGAGCCGAAGAGATTTTTCCAAAGAGCTACTAGCTACTGGTAGGGAGTGTGCGCGGCGTGTGATCACTTGAGAGTAACAAAGAGAAACAAAGGCCTCTCGCAGTAGAGAAAGCGTGCACGCGGGAAACACGTGAACCCCACGCGGCACTGTTACGCACATGGCGTGGGACAGGAACGAGACCTACATGATTATCGATTTCATGTCCTTCAAACCAGGGTTGGTAAACAGGGAGGGCTATGACCACAGACCTTCCCACCCTCAGGTCGCAACAGCTGTAGGGCAATAAAGAATTTGCATTTTTTCCTCCCACAATGCATAGGAGAGCGATGAAAACTGATTTTAACCTAGAATTGAGATGGAAGAAATGGAAACGGGCGCGAAAGAGGTGGAGGTGTTCAGGAGGTCGCAGCTGGACTTGGGCCCTCCCACTGCTGAGTCTGTTCCGCCTCTACTGCTTTTAATTACGACTATCTAGACTGTCAAGTTCACGGGGAATTTAGTATTCATTATCAGAGATGCCACTATCATAAATTAGTCTTTCACCAACAAGAATAAACATTGCTTTGCGATCGGACCTGCATATATGGTTTATATTATGAGGGGCGCTCAAGTTTTGAAAAAAAAAACTTTATTCCCTTATTGGCATAACCTATATGCCCCATACTTGCACACCCTCTCAGATATGAAAGAAGGTTGTAGGCGTGTTTTACAGTGGGAATAGTCGATGAATAATTTCACGTGTGTCATCAACTTGACTCCTTATGAAGTATCATCACTTAAACTGTGGAATCCGATTAAGGACGTATGATGAAAACGTATTCCAAGCATGCCATAAAATAATCTGAGAAAAAATGTGGCTAGTTAGTTGTACACTTTTAAAACACTTCTACCGATATGAGTGCTTCGACCAAGCTTTCAATTCACTGTTAAGAGTGCACCTCAGTCTGAAAGCCTTACAAGTGTTACATATAAGCCTGAAAGTGTTTCATTAAGTACCAGATCAGGATACAATGCTGTGTGGATGGATGGAGGGAGCGAGAGGGGGAGAGAGAGAGAGACCCCTGAGGCTCGTGCAAGTATGAAGTTTATCATTCTTGCCAATAGAGAAATAATGTGTTGCCAAAATTTATATCGAATCTCCCTCGTAATACAAGCCATTATTTGCAGATCCGATCTCAAAGGAATGTTCATTGGCATGGCGAAGAACCAAATCATGATATTGACAATTCTGATGAATGCTATATTGCCAGTGGACTTGACAGATAGTCGGAGTTAGAAGGTCGTGGACAATCACGCGTGCTAAAAATCTCATTCCGATAATACACACTACGTAGATTTTTCTTGAGAGATATCAAACAGCGTTCAGAAGTGCATATTAGAAATCAGTAGCACTCGGTTCCATTCCCTGGTAATCCTAGAGGGAAGAATGAAATGGTTCCCATATAATCCCACTGTAAATATTTTTTTGAGTGGTTTCTTTTTTGTCACAAGTACCGTAACACCTTTCCTCCGCCCCTTAATCCCCTCGCCCTTCCTTTGTCAACTTGAATCAAGCCTTTTTTTGGCCAAACCAAACGTTTTTCTCCATCCTATTCCCATTTCCCCATCTTGAATGAGAAATATACGTTTTAGCGAGCGAGATTCGAATGCGATCGTCTTTTGAAGTTATAAGATAAATCCCCTCTGCAACGGAAGGAGGCTCTCAATCTGACTGAGGTTCCGTAAACTGGGACAGAGGTTTCTCATCTTTTTTCGATCTCTTCATCTTTTCCGTCTTTCTGCTCAACAACCCTATTCTGTAGACCCACTTTGATCTAATTAATATATATATAAACGTCTAAAATTGAAATCTGCGATTTACTGTACATTCGGATTGACTCCGTCCTTTCTTTGGATATAAGGAATGGATTTTTCTGGGGAAACTGCATTTTGAGCTCACGAACATATTTCGAAAAAGTTCGAAATGAGCCCAGTTTCCAAGTACATTATTTCTTCGTGAATGAAGATGTAATATCTCGATGTTTCAACAGATGGCAGTCCAGTGACTTGTGAAGTCATATTGACGTCATCCATGGCGCTAAAAGCGATTTACGTTCGAGGCTCGGGATGGGATTTCAAGGCAGATTTCTATCCATATTCGTGTACCGAGTTGAGTTCAACAAAGATCAGACAGAGATAGGCCTAGGCATTCAAGCCGAAGTTTGTAGATACCGGATGGGCACAAGAATGTCAACTAGCATAGTCTGAGCCTAACGTTACATTATATTGGCCCCGATCAATGCATCTCGTATTGCATCTCACTAATCTCATTAAGGAGAATATTAATGCGATAAAATTCCATGTAACTTGACAAATATAGGGAGTTGCGTGGCCCAGGCCGCTAATAAAAACGTGGCCTAGGCTAAGTCTAACGTTATGCTAAGCTTCTATACTCTGTTCTTTATCAGGGTTCCTAAAAGTTATTTGTTTAATTGGGTAACCAAATGGTTTTTTTTCTAAATGGTAGCTAAAAGCCTGTCTTGTTTAGCTGCTGCAAAATATCCTCCCCCCCCTGTTCCCAGACATGAGAAGTTGTAGGTGTCTTCTAGGCATGCCAGAAGAGGCAAAAAGGAAAGTGTTTCTGCATAATAGGCTAACAGGCACAAGAGTGTCAAGGCCCATGGAGACCTTTGGAACCCTAGCTAACCTTCCCCCCTCTATCTTAACTCCACCATTGAGTAACCTGATGAACCCAAGTAACCTTAGGAGACTCAAATTTACTTCAGTAGTTACCCTGGGGATGTGCTTCCCAGGTTGCATCTGACTTTTTTGTCACCATTACAGTCATCGATCAATGGAGTTAACATATTTCGGACAGCCAAAAAAGAGGACACCTTCTGATCGGATGGAAATTTGAAAGCACAAAAAGGGGGACACATCTGAGAAAACCTGAACGTATCATAACCAATAAGAAGCCTTTCTTCTGGACAGAAATCTTTTAACATCTTTTAATTGAAACTTGGCCTAATTACAATCCTCAAGTGAATCAGACTGAGTTTATGGAATAATTCAGCTGGTTAACACAACCTAGTCTAATCTGAATCACTATAAAGGTGACACTTGGGGCTAAGCTTTTGTCAAAAAATTATGGCATGCCAGCTGTTAGCATAGCATTTTTCTTAAACTGATTTGATGATTCTGCTTCCAACAGATTGGCTCAATTTACTTTCAAGATAAAGAGTCCAACCATAGACTGCCATGGCTTCTGTTGGGCTTAGTCGTCGCTCCAGTACAGCAAGAAAGCCTAACCACCAGCCGTTAATAGTTTCTAAATCATTAGGTTCTAGGCCCAACGATGGACCAAGCAACAGGCCTGGCCGTGGTGGCTCTGATTTGGATGGTCCTTCAAATGAAGTTTGTGTGAGTGGCTCAGTTCAAACACAGATGCCTGGACCTTCAAGATTTCCAAATGATGTCTCTCAAAGTTTCAAAGGCCAGGAGTTTCCTGACAACTGTCATTCTCTTGAGAATCATTTGGGACAGGAAAGACCCAGACAGATTCAAGAGAGTTCCAAGAAGCATCGTGAAATGGAGGAGCAGATTTTCAGTCAGGATACTGATTCAAGTGAAACCAAAGTTTCATTACATCATGTTGTTGAACTGAACAATAGTGGAAACTTGGCTGAGCTTCGCAAGCGTCTGTCTCGTACGCCAAGCAGTAGGGTAAGTTTAAGGAACTATCTTTCTTGTTGGCCACTTGTCTTTGCAAAATGAATCTGTTGCTGTCATTTTCCTTTGAGGAACAATCTGACCCATACCCTTCTCTTCTTCCCCCCCCCCCCCCAAAATCCACTAAGTTAAACAGCATTCAAACCCACAGCAACACAATTTGGAATATTTATATAGGAACTTTAGCCTTCTACCAGACAACTTAAAGGTTTACTAGTGAATTATTTGGTTGGATAAATATGTCACTTTAATATTTTTCCTTTATCTATCCATAAAAGTAAGTGCCTGAAATAGATAAAATATGAAATGAGTGTTTATATTGAAATTGTAAAAATGAGAGAGGATATTGGGGATAGGGTGTTCAATGTCAGCAGAAGGTAAATTAATAACTGTGTCTTGATTATGTTGAACGTTTTTTGGCTTTGATTTCCTTTTGAAGTGTTTAAAATTAAAATTTACATTTCTTCAATTGCCATGCATAATTTTATCTGCATTCTTCATGATGTGAGTTGAACTTGTTATTATGGAGGTGATTGGCATACTCATTATATATTCAAAGGATATCACATTTAATTTTTGTAATTTCTTTAAAATTGTCTGATAGATTTTGATTTTTATCAACTTCACAAGGAGCAAAACAGATTTGAAAAGTTATTTAATGTGATCTGAACAGCCAGCATAACCAATCATCTATTGGTGTTGATTTGTGCCTCTCATGCTATTTTCATTCATACTCAGTATGCATTAATTGTAAAGCAGTTATGATGGTGAAGTCTGAGGAAGTCATGCCTTCTTTTTGAGACTGATTTACACAGCACTGGAGGTGCTTATGGATGGGATATATATTTTAAATATCTTTAACAGTTTTCATTGTCTTAACATTTTCTATTTTCATTTCCATTTTACATCTAAATGTTTACTTTCATCTGTCCCAAAGTAACCTCATGAAATTTTGATTGTTTTGTATAGACCAGGGGTCTCAAACTCGTTTAGGTGTGTGGGCCACCTCATCAAGATTTTCCCTGATTGTGTATAATGGGCCTAAAACGTTTCTCTCTCGGTGTACACAAGTGGGTCGTGGCCCGTGGGCCATGAGTTTAAGACCCCTGGTACAGACCATCAATTCAGTAGCTGTTGTCTGTCATTGCAGATAATTTATTTCAATTTTGAGGTAGTTGTCTTCACTCTTGTATATCATTCCCTTTACATAAGATGTTTGACCTGCATAGAATTTAACTGTAAGGCAAGTATTTTACTTTTACAAATGAGATATTCACAAATTTAAAAAAAAATTTTAAGGCTTACATTTACAGTAATGGATGCTGGAACGACATGCATGTTCCATGCTGGAATCTTTGCTCCCTTGTTTCTAATGAGGTTTTAAATACTTTGCCTCTGGTTTTATTGAGTACTCATTTATGCTAGTGTAGTCATTCAAATGCTCCATCTGAAATGCAGTNAGTACTCATTTATGCTAGTGTAGTCATTCAAATGCTCCATCTGAAATGCAGTTATTCAGGATGTTGGATGAGGCCATATCTCGGGCTGCAAAATCCCTTAATCAGGCAGTGGCTGCAATCCTGAAGTGTTCACCTGAGAGCTCAGATGCCATCTTCAGTTCTAAAGGAGAAGTGAGTTACATAAGTTTGTTATTTCTAAATAAGCAGGGAAAGTTCCTGGGGTTATCTAGAGCAATGCAACTATAGTGAGTTATATAGTTGTATTCTTGTAGCTCTTTGAGATGGACCTGTAATGTTTCTGTTACCCTCATGGGCTTGAAATTTTCTCCAGTTTCTTCAGAGTGACAAGACTCTGACTGCTCCATTCTCTTGTGGAAATGAGGGGAAATCTTGAGGAACTTATTGCAAACTCTTTTATTAATTGTGAAATGGGTGAAATCAGAAAAGGCCAGCCCAAAGAATTAATTTATTCAAGGTGATATTGATGTGACCTGGATGATGTACAACAACGTTAAGGTTTTCCATCTACTCAACTACTAGCATGGGCTTCCATCTGTTTCAATGTCCAACTTCTTTTTAATACTTTTCCATGACTTGCCTTGGCCACATGTATTTCAGTGATGTTTCATATCTCTTGAGAACATATTGTCCTATGCACTGGGTGAGTTTCATGAAAATGTGACCGTAAGAGATTTTCTGCAGGTCATTCTTGCCATAATCTTGTGAATTTTATTCTTGGAGCATATAAATACTGACAAATGTAGAGAAAATCAAGCCAAGAATTATTATTACGTTTTTGAAAGAAAGAAAATGAATGTGCTGAAATGCATATAGGATGCTAAGCAGACTCCAGGGTCTTAGAATCACTCAGAGCTATCAACTATCAGCAGGACTATCAACTGCATTGTATTGGGAGTTCAAAGCAAAGTATTTTTTGCATTTGAATTAAAATAGTATCCAATTATGGTAAGAGTGATGTGCTGACATGCAACAATTTTATTTCAGTTGAAAATACCTCAGAAAGAGGTAATACATTCACAGAAGTGCTGCTGTAATCAATTTTGGATTTCACTTATTCAATATTTCACTTATTCATAAAAACAATCTTGAACAAGACTCACTGCTGATATTTTTTTCATGCTTTACAAGCATTTCGTCAGCAAGATTTCTTTTCATGCAAGTATTTTCATGCTTTGTTATATTTTCAGATCTATCTCCATTTGATGAGAATGCTCCAAGGAGATGACCTGCAAACAAAAGTTTCCACCGATTTGAAATGGGTTCTGAGCAACTCCATTGACTATTTCTCTGTGAATGGTGCTGTGGAGATTTCACAGGCTATAATGACAGATATAAAAGATGGGAGGGATTATCGAGGAGGGTGAGTTTCCATTTGCTTCTTCTACCCTTTCAATATTTTTTAGGTGTGGAATGGATTTTTCTCAGGAGTAGGCCTACATTCATCATGATGAATTTTGATTGTTTTCTTGCAAAGAGAAGAAAGAGTTCAGACTTAGCAGAGGTTGTCTGACTCACTACACCTTGTTTGAAGAGAGCAAAATGAGACAAATGTCATGTTAACCCCTTACATGTGAGCTACAATACTATAAACACGGTTTGACAAAAAAGATACCAACAGCTATTAACCTGTGTCTCTGCTCTTACTGGAGTTTCATTCACAATACTTGTGTTGCACATAGATTGAAATGTTCCCAACAGACCTACAAAATTTCAAACAAATAGCAATTATTTAAACAAATTATTTAAAAAATTGAAAGTTGAAATTGAGCTTGGTGCTTCAGTCACTTCAGAGTGCCTATACTCTGCCTACTTTATTCTCTGATGCTAACTTCAAAATGGACTTTTAGCAAATTATTACGTATCCAGTAAGTAAGTAACCAGTAGCTAGTTCCTTTTCGAACAGTGCGACAGTTGGTTCTTCTCAAGTAGGGAATTTCCCTAAAGTCACCTTCTCTTCAAGTTACACCAGACCAACTATAAGTGTGCAGTATCGAGACCTTTCTTCCAGTTGTCTAATCTGTTCGGAGCTCATCTGTCCAACTTGTTTTAAACATGTACTCATAACCTTTTTTGGCTAAATTAATTTGGATGATATTTTGAAGGTCAGTTAGAAACATATCAATCTATCCATATAGCAAGTTCATTGAAAATGGCTCCATTGTGAGTAAAGACATAATGCTTGCTTGTATTTTTTTTGCCATTTTTGCAACATCCTGGATATATTAAAAGAATTTGATGTCCTATCAATGAATCCTCCTGTGCCCTGCTATGAACAAATGTTTGGTCCAGAACTATGATCTTCAATTCACTTGTGACATTGGCTAATGGGCCAATAAAAAACAATTCTGGTTGTCCTGCTAAACCTTAGGGAGTAATTTTAGATTTTTTCCTTGGTCAATGATTTATGCATAGGTCATTCATTCATTGGTCATCGATCAAGGAAAAGCTTGTCACGCTGTCAACCAAGAAGAGTTCATCCCTTAAAGGGATTTCAGTGGAAGAGAAGTTCAATGTGGTCTGGTTGATATTCACCGCAGTATTGAGACCTTTCTTCCAGTTGTCTAATCTGTTCGGAGCTCATCTGTCCAACTTGTTTTAAACATGTACTCGTAACCTTTTTTGGCTAAATTAATTTGGATGATATTTTGAAGGTCAGTTGGAAACATATCAATCTATCCATATAGCAAGTTCATTGAAAATGGCTCCATTGTGAGTAAAGACATATTGCTTGCTTGTATTTTTTTTGCCATTTTTGCAACATCCTGGATATATTAAAAGAATTTGATGTCCCATCAATGAATCCTCCTGTGCCCTGCTATGAACAAGTGTTTGGTCCAGAACTATGATCTTCAATTCACTTGTGACATTGGCTAATGGGCCAATAAAAAACAATTCTGGTTGTCCTGCTAAACCTTAGGGAGTAATTTTAGATTTTTTCCTTGGTCAATGATTTGACTGGTGGAGGAATCTCAGGAGGAATTCATCATGTGTGCATCTCACCTACAGGGTGTCCCAGAAACCCTGCCCCAAGTTTGGACAGAAATTAAGACTAAGTGAATGGACTCATCAAAATTTTATTAGTAATATTTATTTTACCTAGCATCTAGCAGAATAAGGAAGCAGGGATTCAATCTTTGCCGCTCAAATTGGTTCCTATTTTGATATTGACACTTATGGCATCACCAGGGAAAGTCATCCACTGCTTTCTGGCACATGTCCAAACTTATTGCATTCAGTTTGGCAGAGATGGCGTTAATGAGGTCAGGGATGTTACAGTGTTTGGTAGCTTACACCTTCTCTTTAAAAAAAACCAAACAACCAGTAATTATAAACTGTCAAGTTTAACAGCATTTGTTAGTAAACAGAACAAAAATGTTGGGCATGTTCATAAAAAAAAAATTAGGATATGATTCCACTGATGTATACAGTCATGACAAGAAAATATCAATTTTTTTCACTTGACAGATGCCCCCAAAAGATTTTTTGTAACAAGTTCAGACAGGCCTATGTAGATTTGGCAAGAATGAGGAAAAGAACCAGCAGGGGAATCCTAATCCTATAAATCCTATTCCAGCAAACATGTGGAATGAATGTCAATAATTTATATGCCCAGCAGCCAAACTATGCTATATATATGATGCAATATTATGCAACAGAATGAACATTTAATTTTATGTTAAAATATGTTCCATAACCTTCATATCTGAAGATATGAAAGGGCCTTTTTGATCTGTGATCACATGGTGTGACCAATGCATTCACATGTCTGCTACATTTAATAGGTAGTTGATCAGTAGGACTGAGTGACTGATGGTAATTCTAACCATGTTTTTGGGGTATTGAGTTCAGGAAAAAATCTTACTTTTAAGGTATGTCCCCTCTGGAAAAATTTTTGTTTGGATGTTTTTTCCCAAGGCAGCAAGATGGCAAATATAGGTAGCTGCATTTTGTTTAATCTGTAGTTCTTTGGTTATTGATTTGAGGGTAATAGTTACTTTTCAGGTTTGCCCTCTGGGAACTTTTTTGCAAGAGGGAAATATTTCAAGAAATTGTTTAGCTTCAATGAAATGGAGTGACAGAAAACTGAAACTTGGTATATAGGTACCTGTTGAGATGCAGTTTTCAGGGAAAATCATATTTTAAAGATGGATTCCCTGGGGACATTCATTTTGTGGGGAGACATTTTCCAATATATTTTTTTGTCCCTGTGAAAAAGGAAGATGAATAAATATGAAATTCTAAGACTTTATACAGGATGGGCCAAAAAAAAGTGGTCATCTTTATTACTCCACAGCCCTGGTCCCTAAGAGTTTGCTAAAATTGCAATAGCACCTTTGTATTCATTCAACTTTCAGCAAAAGAATGAAGATTCACATAAATTCCACTAAGAAAACAGTTCCTATTAAAAAGATTTCCATTTGTTTAATGTTGATAACATCAGGTTGGAAATGATGTCACAAAAATAATCAGAGGTAACTTCTAGTCACAATCAAAAGTACCTATGACCCATGATGTGTGATCACATTGGTAGGCATGAGGTTTGAAGTCAGTTGTTTCAAATGCATAGGTCATTTTCTAAGATCAAGTACCAAAGGTGCAACCATTGCATTGTTTAAAATACAACACATATGCACTCATGGCTTTGGTTGCATGCTTTGGTACCTCCAAAGCAGGGGTAGACTTAAGAATCTTCTTCTTTTGCTGCATATTCTTTCATAGTATTACCCCTTTGAACTCTCTTTTTTTTTCCTAATGCTGTAACAAACATTAGACATGATCTGGCAGTAATGCGTAAAGGTCAAGAGTTGATGTCAAGATTTTATTTTTCTGGTGGGGCTTTGTCTCCACTAGTCAGTTTTAGTCTTAGAGTTTGCTTAGACAGCAATATAAAAAAAAAATGCATTCCAAAGTGGCAATCCCTAGGAAATCACCTGGGTGACACAATTAACCCTTCACCACATTCATGCCCAGTGACTGCAGAACAATATGGACTTAAAAACGTAATATTATGGTTCTCAGCGTCATGTGGTTAACTGTTGAGTTTTAATGTGGATTCTGAACTTATTTTGTCTGGTTTTTATCTTTCTGTCATTCTCAATTATTTTTTTTGAAATAGAGAAATACTTTCAATAAAATGTTCATAAAACAATTATATTTTGATTATAACTGATGAAACTGAGACCATTTCCCAGAAATAAATAATGTGCATGAGAACAAAGCACAATGGCATCCACTTGAGTATACTTGGGCATGTCTTTCAAAAGGTTAAGGGGAGTTGACCACATGCACTATTTACATTGGATTAAGGTTTTTTCAATTTGTGTACCCTCACTTATTTTTCAACAATAATAGCAGTCATACATGAGACTAATCTTTTGGCCACTAAGAAGACTCAGGAATACAGTGGACCAAGTTGTTAGGGAAGCCTTGACTACCTTGCAAATCTTCTTGTAATTGGAAATTGTTGCTTCCTTTGTAATTGTAGATTTCTGGCTGGTTACCAACAGTCCTAACCTCTTGTAGTAGCCTTTTTTCATTCATCTACCTTTTGTATGGATTGTGATGCATTTACTAATTTAACCTTTGCAGTTCTTTGTCCCATTGGGTGGGCTGTTGGTCATAGTGTTCTAAAAAAAAAGTAAATCACAAAGGGTTAAGGGTGCATGCAAAGTGCTGCAGTATAACTAATACGGTGTAAACTTTCAGGTGGTTGGAGTTGCTCCCTCAGGTACTCGGTGCCATTGAGGAAAAGGCAAATGGAGAAAGCATATCATTTGACCACAATACCATGTCTTCATCTGCCTATAAAGCCCATGTCATCAATACCATTTGCAACCTGAGATGGGATCTCCATTGTGTTCCATTCATTGCAGCCATGTTTGTGTAAGAGTGATTTTCATGATGCTTTTCCCTACATTTTTAATCCTGCTTTAAAGGAGTTTAGGTTACCTATGAGAACATGCAATTTATCATCTTTATTATTGTTTAGTCTAGTTTTTTGACATGGGGAGCAAGGGCATGTCTGCTGACAGAAACTTAGGATATTTGAAGTTAAGGCATTCTGGAAGTCATTGCAATGATTGAAACAGTTCCTATTCTGATTTGATTTTGTATATGCCATATTGTCTTTGCTTTTGTTCCTTTCTGTCAACTTAAATTCTGCCACTTTTTTAACATTCCCATTTTATTCAATTTTGACCTGCAGATTTCAATTGAAGCATAATTCCTAGAAAGGTCTCTATGTATCAAGCAGCAATGGAAAAGCTCAAGTTTCCATTCTTGTTTTTTTTTGGTTTATGAACATCTCTCAGACATTAAATCCTAAAGATTTCAAATGTGACCTGATGAAGGTAGGGTGCAGACTGCCTTGTTTAGGAGGTTGAAAACATTTTTGAAAGTAGATGAGAGAAGGCAGAACAAGATAAAATGGGTCATGTGAGTAGTACTAGGCCTTGGCACAGTAAAAGAGCTAATATAAATAGGAAATTAATGCCAGTGGTCCTGAACTTCATCTGTTGGGGATAGATTTGACAGAGAGAGAGAGAGACAGATCAATGAAAAATTAGAGAAAGCAAATAAAATGGAGCCTAGGTGTGAAGATAAAGAGGTAAAAGTGCAAGAGGAGGAAGAGGAGGGTGATCAGGAAGAAATTTCAGAAGAAGCCTTCCACTCCTGGAAGGCTTCTTCGGAAATTTCTGTCTCAAGTGGTCCTTCTTGGAGAAAATTGACCCTGTGGGGCAATTGACTATCTTTGGCTATTATTGACTGAGAAAGTTTTTATGTCTCAAAGTAAAGCCAAGATAAAATTGTATCAGACTTTTATTAAATTTTCTGCATATTTAATTGCCCCCAAAATAAATATTTTAATAAAACAAATTTACAGGAGAGATTTCAAGCATTTGGAAACATGGCTTTGCAAGGCTATGACATAAGCTTCTTTCCTTACAGTTGCATGATTTTCACTTTACAACTTGTACTTCTCTTAAGGCTCACATAAATGTGAGTGGAACTTCATTTGTCAAGGAAATGTAAACTAAACAATAAAATTATTTAATATGGCCAATTAGGAACAGTTTATCTTCAGTTTTAGTCAACTGAACTACTAGTGATATACTGAAATTGAAATGCAAATGGATGGCATTAATTCACTAAATGTCTGGGTTTTGTGTTACTGCTGTTGCAATTGTGCTCTTGCACTGTTACAGTGACATGCCAATGTCTCCTGAAGAAGCAGGCTTTGTGATCACAAAGCTTTTCAAGGCTGTGGTAGAGCTCCCAGTTGTGGATGCTCCTCCTGTTGTGCACCATATGCTCCGCCTCTGCAAGCATCACCATCGAGGATATTTGCTGACAAAGTTGTCTGATCATTTTGGCAACTTATTTGAACAATGTCGAAAGGAAGATAGTCAAGATTTAGGTAAGTGTTGACTAATAGGTTTGACCTCTCCATAAATGTTACTTAAGAGGGTCATCCCAAAAGTAATGCCTCTGATTTTGCTTACTACAAATTACTTGTGGCACAAGCTTGAAAATGCACAAGCAGATACTTTCTGGATAGAGCTGGATGTTCCCAATGTTACTTCTAAAATTTCCTTTGACATTTATGCATGTCACTTATATTTACTCTTGCCTTGGTAGTTGTTCACCATCCAGTTCATTTGATAAATTGCATTTTGATAAAAAGATGCAGATCTGAAAACACATGTGCTACTGGACACAATGGTAGGAACCATTTTTTCTCTAATCTGGCTGTCCTAGGGCATGTATCATAACCAAGGGGGGTCAGAGAGACCCCTCTTAGGTCTGCGCAGAAACGCATTTTGGGGGGTGGAATGCCTCACACTTTCAGGTATGCTGTGGAAGTCGACAGGGTAGCGAAATGTGCCTTTGGCATCGGAAACTGGGCAAGATCATGACATTGTGAAATTTGAAAATATCCTCTACACCAAAAATCTATCTTTTTGTGATGGGTTTTGTGAATTTGATGTCCAGTCATCTCACATTAGATTGGAGCTGTCATGAAAATCCTTTTCCCGTCACCATTATTCTCATTTTTTTCATTTCAATTCCTAATAATCCTGGTTCATCCTCACTGCATTTCCCCTGTTCAGATATCTCAGTCTAGAAGAGTTCTGGTAGGTATGAAGATCCCAATAGTCGATGGATGTGTGGGTACTTGTATAGTGGAACATTTCGATGACATCATCATGTGCGCAAGGATTTTACCCCCCCTCTCTGATCCCCCTTGATCATGACCCAGAACCTGAAACTATGGTGCACTCCTTTAATTTGATAAATTGCATTTTGATAAAAAGATGCAGATCTGAAAACACATGTGCTACTGGACACAATGGTAGGAACCATTTTTTCTCTAATCTGGCTGTCCTAGGGCATGTATCATAACCAAGGGGGGTCGGAGAGACCCCTCTTAGGTCTGCGCAGAAACGCATTTTGGGGGGTGGAATGCCTCACACTTTCAGGTATGCTGTGGAAGTCGACAGGGTAGCGAAATGCGCCTTTGGCATGGGAAACTGGGCAAGATCATGATATTGTGAAATTTGAAAATATCCTCTACACCAAAAATCTATCTTTTTGTGATGGGTTTTGTGAATTTGATGTCCAGCCATCTCACATTAGATTGGAGCTGTCATGAAAATCCTTTTCCCGTCACCATTATTCCCATTTTTTTCATTTCAATTCCTAACGATCCTGGTTCATCCTCACTGCATTTCCCCTGTTCAGGTATCTCAGTCTAGAAGAGTTCTGGTAGGTATGAAGATCCCAATAGTCATGGATGTGTGGGTACTTGTATAGTGGAACATTTCGATGACATCATCATGTGCGCAAGGATTTTACCCCCCCTCTCTGATCCCCCTTGATCATGACCCAGAACCTGAAACTATGGTGCACTCCTTTAAATGGATGTGTGGGTACTTGTATAGTGGAACATTTCGATGACATCATCATGTGCGCAAGGATTTTACCCCCCCTCTCTGATCCCCCTTGATCATGACCCAGAACCTGAAACTATGGTGCACTCCTTTACTCATGTCCTGAATCTGTCTCAGCAACCCCACTCTCACTTGGGTTTACCCTTATTCCATTTTTGCACATTAGTTTTTATTTGGCAGGTGATGCTCTAAGTTAGTGGTTCCCAAACTGTGGGTCACAAATGGCTTCAAGGTGGGTTGCAACAAGTTTCCCATGATACAAAAGCAATATCTGCATATGCCAATCCCGAGTGATGGTATTAGCTTGGCCCTTGCACACTTCTATTGACACCTGCGGGCGTCCCCTCCTTCCTTCTCCTTCCACCTTACTCTCAATTCAAAGAATATCCCCCTTCTTGTAAAGGCGACATGGGCATTGCTTTCCTTCACTATCATATATCTGTGTAAAACAGGATTCTCTGCTCTGACTTTGATTTTTTTTT